GCAACTGGCTGAGTCAGCTGGGGTCGTCGGTTCGAATCCCGCTGAAGAAGTTTGATTAGGATATATAGCTATCACTTCTACCATTTTTTCAAATTATTGTTGCTTTTCCACAATAGTTTTTCATTAAAAACGGCCTCAAGCTCAATAAAAATTGTTGAATTGAAATAACACAGGCCCAGCGGCGGATGCAGAATTTTTTTTGGGGAGGGGCGGGCTTTCCGAGAAATTTTGTCACTTATACTTATTACTTTAAACGAGTAATTAGGACGATCCAAAATAACTAACCTTGCGAATTTATGGCCTTAAAATTACCTATTTACTGAGAAGGAAATTCTCCCATTTGGAAACATTTTTATTTCAATTTTAAAAGGTGTCGGTGGCATTTGAAATATTCTATGTAAATAACATGTAAAAAAAATTTGTTTTCATTAAAAATGGTGTAAATTCTGAACCATTAAAAAAGTTATAAAAGAGGGATACAAGTTTTTTTCTGGGCATATTCTTGTAGGGCATTAAATTCTCTAAAAAATTACCCTGAAGTTGGTTGTCTTAGGGACGATTAAGAGTATTAAATATGGTAATGATATTGCTGAACGAGCATTGATACAAAATTATAATCGAACTTTGACGAAAGACGAAGAACAAAAGCAATTATTACTTTTGCAAGTAATACCATGTTCTGACCGACAACGAAAACACCTTGAAAACGAGTTTTGCGATTGTGGGCTGAAGGCTGTTCACACCGACTGTTGGTGTTTTCGTTGACATTTCTTTCATCCTTTGTGTACAGTTTTGCTACACAAAAACAAAACCAAAATACTTTTCCTTCAATTTCTTTTCATTAACACCTTTTACCTCCATGCTTACTTTATTTTGGCCAGCCAATTAACAATAAATCCGAAATGACGTATTAAAGAAGATAAAATATGACTTCCACTTCGATAAATAATCGAAAAAACTAGTGCAGACACCGATTGGAATGAGTGGAACGTGAGTTTTCAAGTGGTTTTCAGCGAAAACTAGTTTTCGTTTGACAGATTTTACATGGACGAAAACACAAGTTTTAGGTCGAAAACCAGTTTTACCAACGAAAACCTGTTTTCGATGTCGGTCAGAACATGGTCTAATACAATGATAGTTAAATTATTTAAAACTAAATAGTCAAAACTTGTTAATATGTGGTGGTCTTATAATTATGCAACGCAGTTTACTATTAACTTGCCTGACTTGTGTTTAGAGAAACTTTCAACTGTTAATTTATTCGTTATTTATTTATGTAAAAAAAAATTAGTGTTTTCAATTGAGAATTTGCCCTCCTGGAATGTTAAAAAATTCTGCTCACCTTACATATATGGATGTCTCCTACTGTGGTGTTCAAGTAATTAAAAATTTAGGTATTGTGGGTAATGTGGTATTCTAATAAATTAACCAACCTCTTGTGTTCCAAACAAACTCATATAAAATCTACAAAACATAAATTTTCTATTTGAATAGTGTTATTGAGCTTTGTGCTATCATTTTTATTTTTTTTTTTTAGAAAAAAACGAAAAAATCAACAAAGTCTAACCGGTAGAAGTTATAGCTCCTATTTCGGAGATCACCACATCTCCTCATCAGACTTCTTTCTCTAGACTTCAGCAGGAATCGAACCCGAATCATCGATGTGCAAAGCCAGCGACGCTAACCACTGAGGATATGCACACCCTGTAAACTCTTGATGCTAATCCAATAATTCTATTATCCGACACTTGATAAATGAAACACAAAATTTACTTTGCAATATTGACAGTTTTTTCTTTCTAAATAGTTAAAAAGAAGCTTAAAAATACGGGATCCATATGTTTTGGGCGACTTAAAGGGAACCAACTGTTTTACTTCATATATGTATTATAACCCCGTTTTTTTAAGTCATCACATGTTAAGGTGATAACAGACGTTGTAGACTTGATATAATTGAGGATAGGCGACTATACCACATTTCACTCCTATACTATGCTCCTCTACGCATTTAAACTTCTGCACAAGTTTTGACTATTTATTTATTTTATAGCCCATTCAATATTGTTGCAAGTTTGCGGTAGCTCAAAATCCTTTCTTTCGTATAAAAAGTTTCGAACAGGCTTTGTATGGAAGAAAATGCGTAATACCGGTAGCAAAAGATTTCTAAAAAACCAACGATATTTTTGAGCTAAAGCATTGTTCACTCAAAATCGGTAAGCGTTCCAGCAATTCCTGTACAGCAATTGCTTCAATGTATTAAAAAGTTGCAATGCAGATCGTTAGACAATAGATCTACCATTATGAGGTTTAAATTTCATAGTACTGGCTTTTAATTTGACAGTTTTATTCGTGTTGGAAGTGGCTGCTCAAAAAATAATGTTGAACAAATTCGTTGAAAATCCGACATTCTCGAGATCAAAAATCAAATTAAAATTAAATATACCAAAAACTTCTAATTTCCCTCCAAAAATCAATGAATGGATTCCTTCTGCTTAAACTAACAGAGTAAGCTAAGGCTCTTTATCTCAATTATAAAAAAAATCGGCTTATCAGAAGAAGATCGCGCGAAAGAATTGGAAAACGATTATCCACAGTTCAGCGAATGGAAGCTATGGCAAGACTTAAACCTTATTGAGTTATAATATATATATATTTCTGTTAGATTAAATAAATTTGATAACAAAAATCGCATCCGTTTACTTTACCCCAAATGTTCACACCAAATGTGGTATTTTTTAGCAATGACTAAAAAACATGTTTAAAACTTGACTTCGGTCAACTCCCACCTTAAAAGTTTTAAGCTAAAAAGAAACAGGGTGATATCCTCTTAAAATTAAATTTATAGAAATTGACACAGTTGTCAAAGGGATATGAAATGACGAGAGAATGGAAACAGACTTATTAAAACTCGATCAGACTCCGCAAAGGGCCATATGACCACAGAAATATGCTGGAAGGAGCGCTTGCATATAGTGTTAAGCCATTGTATCATTTACTTTAGACCTTCAGTAAAGTTTTGGTTGGTTTTAAAGAAAATTAATTATTCACAGGTAACTTTAAGTCGGTTTGAAGCCAAAGATATGAATAAAGTTCTGGAACTCATCAATTTAAAAATAAGTCCTATTTACGTCAAATCAAAAAATGCACGGTATCTATTCAAAACAAAATAAGTAGAGATGCGCGAAATATGATAAAACATAAACTAAAGATAGCTTAGTGGAACAAGTTGATTACTCAAGTCTCTAGAACGGGTGTTCAGAAAAATTTTATCATTATCAAAGAAATTGTCTGTTATTTATTTATACAAGCAAAATATGAAATTTCGCTAACATCTATCTATAGCGGAATACTTCCCTTTATTTTTTCATATATTAAATATTATTTTCTGAAAACCTCTTAAAAAGATATAACCCATTTTATGCGTACTGATTTTGAGTGAACAATGCTTTACTTCAAGCTTGCATAATATTACACTGGAATTTTAATGGGTTATAAACTGCCTAACCATTTTTGCTATAAAAATACGTTTCTAAATATATTCGTATTTGTAGAATAATTTTTGACATAAAATTCGCATTCATATCCTTTAAGTAGCAACATAAGAACATGGATGGAGCTAATATGCATGCATTTTGTATTTCAATTACAGGCTGAGGCCCGTTTGGCTGCTCGCCGACAAGCACGCGCTGAGGCACGGGAAATACGAATGCGAGAATTGGAACGGCAACAAAAGGAACAGGAGCAGAATGCGGACCGGGTATTCGACATGCACAATGTATCCGGCATCGATCCATTGTCGCGATCACGACTTGCCACCGGGGTAGGAAGCTCGCCTTTGGGTGCGGTGCTTAACAGCACACGCGCTAGCTCAATGTCTTCACGGCGCAGCAGTGAGGATTCATTAGAAGAGGAAGGACGAAGCCTGCGAGATATACGACACGAACTCAAGGTAAGTAAGCCAAAAAAAGTTGTGTGTGGCTTCCGCGCGCGACTGATGTGAAACTTCTTCCTATGAAGCATATAGCTCACCGTATTATTACAGTATTTTTCCACATTAGTGGCGTTTTCACAGTGGTTGGTTAACTCAAATTCGCAAGTTAACTTTCAATTTTTGTACTGAAAGCCTGTAGTTAACTGCCGAATGAGAGTTAACTCATCACCGTAAAAACGGCCCATAATAATGGAGAATTATCTTAATTCTCAATATCAGCCTCAATCTTAATCTAAAGCTTAATCTCTTAGTCTTAGGGGTCTATTCTGCGCTTGTAACAAACATTCTGTAACTGGTAAATAAAGTTCCTGACAATTTTTAAACCCTTTTAGCATTCTGTGCACTCTTGTAACCGGTAAATTTTGTTACCATGTCATAATAACAAAATATTGCCCAGTGAAATATGCAATAAAAGAATTTCCACAAATATTCATATGCAGCTGAATTGTAAAATATTTTGACTGCAATTGGATTACGTAGGTACCTAGAATCGGGGTGACAAGGGGTAATACATTTTGCTGTTTACAACATACTTGGGATAGACCTGTTAATCTTAATCTAAATCTTAATTTTAATCTTGATTTAAATTTTAATCTTAATCCTAATTTTAAGTTTTATCCTAATTTTATGCTTAATCTTAATCCTAATCTTAAGCTTAGTCTTCTACCTTAATCTTTATCTTATCCTTAGTCTGAGTCTTAATCTTAATCTTAAGCTTAACCATAATCGTAATCTTAATCTTACAGACCACAAAGAATTTTCACTTCAATAATAATTTTTCACATATTTAGTATCCCAGTAGATAATTTCAGGAGCTATAAGGCCTTCCAAAAGGCCTTCTTGAGAGTCATGAGGCCTTCCACTCTACATTCCTTTATTTTTTATATGGAGTGGCACAAATTGAAGGCCTTCTGCTTTCGCTACCATAAAAGGCCTTCCATCAGCCGGATTCCAACATTCGCTATCGCTAAAATATGCTAAAATGCTAAAGCTAAAATTGTATCCGAATTTTTGCCGATCTTCAAAAATTGTGATTCTGGCCTCCCTGTCGCTAAAAATTACCTATCCTAAGTTTTAGTACCTTATCCGGCCGCAAGTGTCGCTGTGCAGCAACTGCAGCTGTCAAAATTTGTTTCCATTACAATGATGATAAATAATGGAAATAAATACTACGTTTGAAAATACCTAACTTACTGTTTATATCAGGGCTGCAAACCGGTTTTGAACCGAACCGTCGCTTTTTTCGGGCTTCGAATCGAACCATGAACCGAACCGTTCTTATTTTTATATGCCAAAACCGAACCGAAACCCATCCCAAAAAAGTGGTTCGGTTCGGTTCAAAATGAAAATCCACTACAGCATTTTTCAAGTTTTGTAATACACAAATTTGTCTAAAAATGCAACCGGTATAGTAAAACTGCAAAATTTTTTTTTTGTGTAATGGCAACTCCGCGAGTTGTAATTTCGTCCATATAAAGAATGCTTGATTTTTTTTTCTTATATGAAAAAAATGCTTAACAACGCCAGCAAAACCAAATTTCAAAAACTTAATTTTTTTAGTTCTGATTAAAAAGTTTGGAGCTTGGAGCTTTGATGCAACGTTGTTGAAATTGGCAGTTTCTCAAATTTTCATACAAAGTTTGAAATTTGAATTTATGTGCTTTTTATTATATAACGAGCTATACTTTTATAAAAAATGTGTGGACATTAAACCAACAAAAGAAAAATAGTCAAAAGCCTCACTCATATTATTTTGACCATAGGTATACTTGTACATAGACCTGCATAGTGTAAGCTCCAACCTACCGTAAATTAGGGTTTCAATATTAAGCCAAGATTTTGAGGATCAATTCAAAATTCTGATTAAGCTGTTTTGTCTACCCGACTAGCTAGGCTCACCATTTGTCCAAACCTTAAAAAGTTTATTAAAATGTGTCTAATTTCGCCTTAATCGTGTTGATTTTAAATAATTTTTTTGTTGAAGGTATTATGCATTTTCTTCCATACAAAAAATTAAAAAATTAAAAAAAAATTAAAAATTGTCAATAATCAACTTAAAACTTTAAAATTTTTCCTAGAAATTCTTATTAAAATGTTTGCAATTTAGATGAAACTTTGCAGAATATTTATAATATTTTCACAAAGTTTAAAACTTGGACCTTGTATGGTTTAAAAATTAAACATTAATAAACAAAAGAAAAATAGCCAAAACTTGATAAAATTTCGTGTCCCTATTTATTTTTCCTCCACTATTCTATGGGGTTGAAATTCGATTTTATGCTACAAACAGTTATGCGAAATTTAGTTTAGGCTTTTTTGAAAATAAACGCGAAATTTGATTTTTTCTAGAAAAATTCGATTTTGTCCGAATTTTAGCACCCCAAAGTTCGATTTCGAAAATTCGCCATTTTGGAACTAAAATTCGATTAAACTCGAATCTCGAAGCTTCGAATATCGAATCCCTACACTATATATGTGGATATTTGAATTTGATCTCAGTAACAAAGCCTTTAATATTCATATTATGGATTTGTCATATTTTTGTAATATTTGTATCCTTTAGCATAAAGAAATTGAACCATTTGAACCGAACCGAACCGTGGTTCAGAGATACTCGTGAACCGGTTCTTGAACCGGTACAAGCTTTTTCTAAGTGGTTCGAACCACTGAACCGAATACACCGATTTTTGGAGTGGTTTGCAGCCCTGGTTTATATGAAGATGAAAACTTCTTTTTCAATATTGCCTGATGATAAAAAGTCAATCACATGACCATAAAAAAGAAAATAAAGTTAAAAATGCCAACGTTGGTTTAAAAAAGGACAATGAGATGACCATCGAAAAAGAACATAAACCTGATAGCAACGTTTTGCGCTTATTTGCAAATAATACACTAATCAATATTTATTTGCGTGACTTAGTTATTTGCAAATAAACAATTAACTTTGTGTTTATGCGGCAAAGTTTTTATATTTTGTAAAATTGTAATAAACAGCCTTCACAAAAAAAAGCAAGAAAGTCCGTATCCCTTTCAGGAAGTTACAGCGGTCAGTGGGCAAGGCTTTTAAGTAAATGTGTCACAAAGCAGCATTATCATTTTTATTATAGATAATATTGGAGGACAGTTAAGTGTTTTATGAAGACAACACGCCGAAATATTTTTTTAAATTTAAGAATTTCAATATAGCTATAATTAATCGATTTATGAGAACATCTACATTTTTCTTTTTTCAATAAAGCTCTTCAAAATATTGCACAAGCATACATTTTTATTCTTTTGTTGCTTTACTGTTGCACAAATTACAAAGTTTTTTCTATATAATTGAGTAGCTTAAACACACAACAAGATGAAAATTAGCTGTGATTTGTTATTTCTAGTCGCCCATTTTAAACTAGTTTAAGCGCAAAATCGAGATTTTTAGCGATGCAAAATACGCTGGAATCGCTATTTTAGCTACATGAGCTGTCAAAACAGTTCACTCACTTTATCCGGTTCATTTTGTTCATCGCTAAAATCTGTCCAAAAAGGAATCAAAAATGGAGATTTTTAGGGATGCCTTTTTAAGATAGAATCGCGAAAATCGCAAAAAATTGCTAAAATTCATTCAGCATTTTTTGGCGATGGAGTTTTAGCTATAGCGAAAGTTGGAATCCGGCTGCAGAAGGGCTTTTGTAGGATGTATTTCAGAAGAACTTTTGGAGAAGCTGCTTCTTTAATTCCAAAAAATCATACTTCTTTAAGGTATTTATTTATAAAATGCATATTTAAATTTATTTGTAATGTTAGATAATATAAATTTGCGCATTCACGTAAATTGTAAATAGAAAGACCTTTTAGAAGCCATGCAGGCAAGCACTTTTTTCAGCCTTTCTTGGGTAGGCCTTTCAGAAAGGCTTCACTTAAGAAGGCCTACCTAAATTACCTTCTGGGATGTGTCACTTCTATTTTTTCAGGATGTTGAAGAGAGATTTCGAAAGGCAATGATAGCCAATGCTCAGTTGGATAATGAACGTGCCTCACAAACGTATCAAATACAACTGTTGAAAGATAAGTTGGAGGAAGTGGAAGAAACATATGCGCAACTTCAGCGGGAATTCAAGGAGAAGTCCCGAGATTGTAATGCGTTGAAGAGAAATTTGGATAAATTAAGTGAAGAGCTTAAACTGGTGCAAGGCCAACTCACTGAACGGGATAAACTTATCGCGGATCAGGGTTTAGTTATTGTGGCCATAGAGAATGAAGATGGTACCGATGCAAAACGTGCTCTAGTCAGTGTAGAGAATGCTCAGCTGTTAGGTTCCGTGCAAGGTTCATTGGGTATGTGTAAATCGCTGGGATTATTGGGAAGTCGTCCTTCTAATTATTTTTATTATTATTGTTTTTTTTTTTTTTTAGATGTGCGACTGAAAAAATTCAGCGAGGAAAAACAGCAGCTTTCGGCGGAAGTGCAGACACTGCAGGAAACATTAGAGAACTACAAGAGTCAAGGCAAGGGTCGGTCAAATTCGCTGAACGGACCATCTGGGTCCGATGAAGACTACGAAGCACAAAGTAATTATGTGGTATTTTTGCAATTGTCCTTGTTGACTTATATTGATGTTCCTTTATCAGGAGAGGCGAATAAAATAATATCAGATTATAAGTATAAACTGCAGAAGGCTGAACAGGAAATCGCCAGCTTACAGGCTAGTTTAGCTCGTTCAGAAACACAAGTCATACGCTATAAAAGCACAGCTGAAGCGGCTGAAAAAGCAGAAACTGAACTTAAAATAGAGCGGAGAAAACTGCAAAGAGAGGTAAGAAACAATTACACAGTGTAATATGTTCAAGTATTTAGTTTTATATTATATTAAATAATATAAATTGAAATTTCTCCAATTCAATATAGGAACTATTAGTAATACATTTTTGGGATGAATGTCATTGTCAATAAATATGAGTAAATCGTTTTTAGTTGCCAAAGGCAAAACCCCTACATCCACAGCTTCAAAACCGAAAACAAAATGATTTCATAAAAAAACTATATGGTGGACGGTACAGATATTAATTTATAACTTAATAAAATGTATGTGCTTTGTTTCCTACTCACTGATAGCCGATTTCTAACTGTTGTGTAGAGTGTACATCGAAAAAGTATTAGTTTAGCGGTATCGCAACACTAAGAAATTTAATACTTGGAATAGCATAACAAAGAAAAAATTTAAAATTGATTATTGATTGATATGATTGATAAACTACTTACAGGTATGTTCTAAAAACTACCAAAAATATCGTATTTTTGAAAATATCGATGAGTTTTGTGTGTGGGAGTGCATTTGATATCATAAAAACACGTTTCCAAAAAAAAATTATGTGTTCTGACTAATTTTAAAACTATTTAGCTAATTTATGCGTTGATTTCATTTGTTTCAATTGCGTTAGATGTTACATAACAATTGTATTTTTAAATACTAAAAAAATTTATTTCTTCAATATTTGTGCCTAAATAGTTGGACATTTATGGGCGGATATCAAAAGAAATATAATGTGGTTGTTCACGCTTGCCTGGTTATCAGGTTATCTGGTTAAAAATAATTTTTCTGTAGTATATTTTATTGATGTAAACTGAATAAAAAATATAGCCACATAACCAGATAAACTGATAACCAGACAAGTGTGAACCACCACAATGTAAACCACGGAACAGGAAATACTTAAAAAAGTAGTAATGGTAAATCGCGATGCCTAGCGCTTAAAAACTGTCCCAGATGCAGCAGAGGTCTTAGGGTGTATTAAATAAAAAATATATATATTATTATTACAACGCTTTTATCAACTTGCAATGTTGTGTGTCCAGACACCATTTATAGCTATAAAACCTTTGCGTTGCAAAGATCCTATAAAAAAGTCTAGACATCAACCTCGTCGCCTGGTATCATTTTAAACTCTGGAGGTAGATGTCGCCTCGCCGGAAGTAGTTATATATTGCACCTAGATATATGCACTGCATACGCTACAGCGGAAATGGACGACACGCCATTTCTTTAAATGAAATTAATTGCTACTATATGTATGTATGTATGTACGTATGTATGTATGTATGTATGTATATACTAAACGTGAGCACAAAACATTTTGCTTGCATAGTCTTCTGTTCTCTTTTCACTGCAAGTTGAATGATTTTAATATCTATTGCAAAATTTTATACAGCAAGACTAAAAAGTAGAAAATAAATAAAATAAAAAAGGTTTTTAATATACCACGCTTTTATAAATGGACTAAAAATTAGAAAATGATATTTCTCATTCCCACACAATTTGTTTTGATAACTTTTATTTTGAAATTTTAGCAAAAGTCATTATAAACAATTTATGAGATTGAAAATGAAAAACGTGGGGCGCACGCAATAGACCTGAATTTATATAAAGAGTAATATATGTATGTATGTGGGTATATGAATAACGACCGCTTAAAATCGATCTCAAATTTGTACTTTCCCTGTAGAAATTTTAGGTCTACGTTATGTAGTTTGACTATGGTCAATTAAATCGAATGCTTTGTATTGCATGCGCTCCACGTTTTTCATTTTCAATTTCATAGATTGTTTATAATGACTTTTGCTAAAATTTCAAAATCAAAAGTTATCAAAACAAATTCTATGGGACTGAGAAATATTATTTTCTACTTTTTAGTCCATTTATAAAAGCGTTGTATATTAAAAAGTTTTTTTTATATTATTTATTTTCTANGTTGTGCTCAGGTAGCTTATGACCCAGATTGGAATATAGGTTACTTCTTTGAGAGTTGCCATCTGCTAAAATGTTTAATTCATTTGCATGAAATTTTGCACGCAGATAGATTACATAGATCGGAAAATAGGCTACCTTTTTAAGAGATGCCACCTGTTTGAAAATGAAGTTTTGAACACAGATGGTTTATAAACTGGATTGAAAAATAGGCTACTTCCTTAACCGGTTTCGCGATCAGAACGAAATTTGGCACACTTACTACGGATTCCAAAAGGATGGTCTTAGACTGAAAGTAATTCCGATAACTCAAGGCCCCTCACATACAAATTGGAATTTCCATAATACATACAAATATTTTGGAAGTATTTGTGGTAGAGAAGTGGAACTTAGTATGGAGATATGTACGCGAAATCAAATTCATACTCACAGAGAAAAATTGACGCTTTTGGAAAAGAGGCGTGGCACCTCCCATACTGACTGAAAGTTTCATATTACATATCTCCTTAAATATTTGGGGTAAAGTACTTAAGCTTGGTATGGAAATACATATCGTCGCTGTTTTTGGAAAACCGCCCATCGCCTAATTGCAAAACCGCCTATCTTACGGCACTCAAATTTTACAGGAGAGCGAAAAAACGGTTTATTCTTTGAAGGTATTGCCTTGATAGGCGGCATTTTCTCTAGCTATTTTTTTTTACAAATCTGTTGTTTTAATAACGATTTAACGATTTGTATGCTTAAATCTCGATGCCTGGAGTTCAAGGTTACTTAATCTCATTTTTGCCACAACGGCGATTTAGGCTGTTTTGCAACTGGTCGATGGGCGGTTTTGCAAAAACATCGACCATATGTATGTATGTATGTATGTGAAACTAATCCCATACTCATGGAGAAAAATAAGAGTTATTGGACAAGGTGGTGTGGAAACTCCCATGCATATTGATTTTTCTATGCTACATATCTCTGGAGGTGTTTATTGCAGAGGGCTGTAACTTGGCACCGAGATGTGTATACAAAATCAATTCCATACTCATGAAGAAAAATTTGAGTTATTCGAAAAGGAGACATGGTACCTCCCATACAAATTTACTATTTTATACTGCATATTTTTAGAGGTGTTCATGGTAGAGTTCTGGGACTTGGTACTGGGGTATATAAAATGAATTCCAAACTCATGAAAGAAAATCAGAGTTATAAGAAAAGGGGGCTTGGCACTTCCTGTACAAATTAACTTTTTCTTGCCACATATCCCTGGAAGCGTTTGTGGAAGAGTACTGGAACTTGGTATGGAGTTGTGTATACAAAATGTATCAATTGCTCATGCAAAAAAATGAGTTATTAAAAAAGGAGGCATGTCGCCTCCCATACATACTAAAACTTTCTGAATACATATCTCTGGAAGGATAGAAAATCTCTGGAAGTATTTTAAATTTTTTATGGAGATTTATTTTATAAGGGCCGTACTGACAAAAAATTGCGGCTTCGGCCGTATAACCTAAAGTTCGCATGATGCAAACATACCTCCTTAGGCATTTAGCTACAGTACTGAGAAGTGGTATTTTATCAAGGCCAGATTACTAAATTTGAGTTAGAAATATTAGAACCCGCCGTCGCACCTCCAAAAAGGTTACACGTTCACGCGTCGTATCCCTGGAACCATTTTAAGGTAAACTTAGAGGGATTGATATCTTTCGTATGCCTAGCACGCAGACGAGATTTTATAATTTCACAACATCATTAAATTATTTTTCATATTTGTATAAAAACGTGGGTGAAACCCGCGGCTATAAGCTAGTATTTTATAAATAGAAAAATGAACTGCTAATCTACATTGAATTATAAATGTAGAAGTTATGAGCACTTTAGTAGAGATACATACAAAAAGTTTCTATACAAAATTATTATTTGCATATTATGGAGTACACACCCTTTACTACAATTTTGAATCGCTATATCTCAGAAATTGTAGTTCTTAGGAACAAAAGTTCCATAACAGTTTTTATAGATAATTGCATGATCTACACTTTCGCCTCACCTATTTTTAAGATAAATCTTACCGTTTTGCTGAAAAATGAAAAAAAAACAGTTTAAATGACTTTTGACCTTGAATAAATTTTATGTTATGTAGTTTGACTATTGTCAATTAAATCTAATGCTTTTATTGCATGCGCTCCACGTTTTTCGTTTTCAATCTTATAAATTGTTTATAATGACTTTTGCTAAAATTTCAAAATCAAAAGTTATCAAAACAAATTCTATGGGACTGAGATATATTATTTTCAAATTTTTAGTCCATTTATAAAAGCGTGGCATATTAAAATGTTGCCTATTTTTATAGATATTTTAAAGGTCATTTAGAGGTCGCGACCTGTCGATTTAGGTTAAAAAATACGGTTTTGTAGATTTATGAGTTTTTGAATGACTATTTTTGACTCGATTTCAAAGATCGAATGTCATCTGAGAATAGGATATATAGGTACGGTGACCATAAAAATATTTTGAAAATGCAGGACAATTTTTCAAAAAATTTACCTACATATAATTGCGTAGTATAAAAATAACAAAAATATACTGTGTACATATATACATTCCTCGTCATTTAAATAGCGCACCCTTTTTTTGATTTTCTCCCATACAAAGTATGCTTGACAACATTTTTATATGGAAGAAAATGCGCAGCACCGTCAACAAAAAAAATTGTCGCCCCTATGTTTTTTTTTTTTATTTTCAAATATTTCTAAAATGGGATGTATATGCTATATTTTTATAAAAAGTTAATGAATATTAAACAAACAAAAGGAAAACTGTACCTACTAAGTATTAAAAGGATGCGCTATTCAAATAACGAAGAGTGTATATTTCTTAATTATTAATCCAATTTTAAACTTTAAACATAAATCACATTTGCTTCATTGGTATTAATCTTTTAGTAATGAATATTATAATAAGGCATATTACATATTACTTTACACGAAATATGAACCTCTGTAAAGCAAATTTGTTAGGCAAACTTTGGTTCGTTGAACACGAAAAAAATACCCATGGTTTCAAAGAAGTGTTTTCGAGAT